ATGAGGGTGAGTAATTAATGACAGAATTTTTATTTTTGGGTGAACTAACCCTTTAATGCTGAGAGGGAAGGTGTTTGACATGTAGGACAGCCTTTTTCTTGCTATAAGCACTACACATAGAAATGGAAATTGAAACTTTTGAAATTGAAATTAACCGCACATTCCTTACAAAAAAAAAAGTGTATCCCAATACTTTATATGCGTTTTTACGATCTTTCCCAAGTGCTTTATGATTCTTCAGACAACGCCCCACAAAATGATATTTCTCTTTATAAATATTCTGTCACATTTATATTTTACTTTTGTAATAAATGTAATATTGTTATGGGAAATAGTAAATGGTATGGTAATATCGTAGTATATCCGTAATATTATTGAGTAAAATACAGGACATCTATCAATATAAAGTATAGGTACTCTTTTTCTTCTGTTCTTGTCCGAACCACATTTAGAGAACATCATCAATTTGAGTACACCATGAACAGTAGCAGCAGTGGTTTACCACCTTATCTTGGTGACAAGTGAACTGGGTATGTTATTGAGGTGTAGCGATGGTAGCTTGAACACCTGTAAGAAAGAACCCTGCTTGTTCTTACTGTTGGTCGAATTGATGTGCGAGAACAATGCCTGACCTTTGGATGTGATTTCAGTGTGCCAGTAGTGGTCCTGTCAAGAAGTTGTTGGAGCGATATACACAGTCTTGTCACTTCTGACCAGATGAATTCTTTGTGTTTCCCTCACCCGTCACATATCAATGAAGCGTCCAGGTGAAAGGAGACATTGGGTCTGGCGAGAAAATAAATAATTTGACACAGAAATGATCCAAGGTTGCTTTCAGGCTAAGTGACTTGCCATGGCGCTCTCACGTGATTTTAGCATGATTTCAGAAATACCTGAAGGCTGTTCTCATGACCATTGTCTGTGCGTGTCACAGATTATTGGCCATTTATCGAAGGCTGTTTTAAAAACACTGCTGTTGGGGTATAATACGTGATGAGGTCCTAAGTCAAGTCAAGTCAAGTCACCTTTATTTATATAGCGCTTTTAACAATACAGATTGTGTCAAAGCAACTGAACAGCATTAATTAGGAAAATAGTGTGTCAATAATGCAAAATGACAATAGTAAACACTAATTTTCCAGTTAAAGACAGTTCATCATTGAATCAGTGATGTCTTCATTCAGCTCAGTTCAGTTTAAATAGTATATGTGCAATCAAGTCAACGATATCGCTGGAAATGAAGTGTACCCAACTAAGCAAGCCAGAGGCGACAGCGGCAAGGAACCAAAATTTAAAAACACTGCTGTTGGGGTATAATACGTGATGAGGTCCTAAGTGCTATAATTTTCTTTGAAACCGAAACCATCAGTTAACATTTGACGTTCTTTCAGTTAGATTATCCAGATGTTTTGGTCTGCAGCTGTTTTCTGCTTTATGTACTGTACACTGAAAACAAAGCACAATTTGTTTGGTTTTGAGCATGTCTTGTGACTCATTGCTATGCTTGGTGTTGAGTTCTTGAATTTAAATGCTTTTGAACTTAGTATTGCGCTTATATTTGACATTTTCTTGCTCTTCCTTGTAATTTCAGAGATGACTCTATCTACACCAACAGCAATTACCTTTTTTCACTTTCGTTTTAATCTCAAACAAATTGAGTGTGCCCCGCTTTGCAGGAATCACCTCTTCAGACAGAGCCCATAGTGAATTTGTGCTAATGTTTCTTATTGGCCCCTTCTTTTTGAACCGTAATAGGGAAAAATTGCATTTCCAAGGTCACAGTTAGAATCGTTTTACACTATATTGCACACTGCACATTCTCTGTGGAGTGGCTGTTGTGCTCCATTCCAGATAAATGCAGGCAATAACTGTGATTGATGCTGAGCCTACAGTCCTCTAGTGCCTCTACAAAAAGGAAGGATAGGTGAAGAGCCAACACATTTTTTGCAACACCGAAAATACAGAGTCAAGAACAGTGGTTGAACATGCACCTATGCCCCTACCCTTGACTTGACCCCAGCATAATTTGGTTTTGGAGAGAGGAGCTGTCACTGCATTCAAAACAGATACTAGTGTGTTTCTTACTGCACACTGCAGGGTATCTGCTGTATGCCTTTGCATGTTTAAAGGTATATTCCACACAAAAATGCTTACCCTCTTGCCGTCCCAGATGTCTTTCTTTCTTTAGGTGAACACAAGCAAAGATTGTCACGCACTTGCATCACACTTCACAACGTGCTGACATATTGCTTCATGATGGTTTCATGAACATGCTTATGACAGTTGGCCGAAAGTGATGGTTTATAGTTGAAGTTTAAAAGAGATGGATTATTTTCTAAAAATCTGAAGAAAGAAAGGTATATACAGCTGGAAAGGTGAGAAAATTTTGGAATAATTGTCATTTTGGGGTGGCATACCCCTTTAATTTAGCAAGTGGTGTCCAGTTACTGTTATCTCAGAATAAATAGGGTTATTTTGCATTTGAACCCAATATTGTGTAAAAACATGCGAGTAGCTTGCAAGTATGAGTAGTAGATTATGAACAGAGCAGAGTGCTGTCCCTTATATGAAGAATGCATCATGTGCATGCTATATTTAATTAAATCCCAGCCTTTTGCAGTTTAATTATTGCAAAAGGCCCCTCTGCAATTTTGATTAATTTAATTGTGCAGCCCTAGTAGCAAGTCATTCTAAATGTAGCCTGAGGTTACAGAATCATCATTTCACCTTAAATCCCTGCAACCATTTGTCACTTAGAACAGCATGCAACAGTGTCAGCACTTGTCAGCTCTTGTCATCAAAGTGCAAATGATAGAATGCTAATTGAGAGTCCCCCTTCAGTATTGTGGTTTTCTTCTAGGACAGTGTAATCATTGTTGCACTCTAGAAGGGTGAAGCAGGAGAGGGTGGAAATGAGGTGAAATGAAATTGCGCTGCAACACGGAGATTTTTGGCAGGGATCGTTGATTTTATTCTGGCTTTGGGCCTATACCTGTACGAACAAGAGCCAAAGACTCCCCCCTGCTTTCCTGTGTAGAAGCCACCTGTTTCCTACAGCTCTCGATCTCTCCAGATTTTGAAACACAAACTCAAGGTCGATTCTTAGCGTCTGGGTGCTACAGTATGGAGTCATTTCCTCAGCAAGATATCTGACCTCTTCTAATGAGACAGCATTGGGTCCTTTATGATATCATTGTTAGCAGGCGGCAAATCGAGTCACGGAGTCGTCAGCTGGTGTGTGTGCCCTCAGAAGGCACTAATGAGTGGATCTATGTAGTGACATTGTTCTGCTTGGTGCCACTGTATCCGTATCAGTCAGCATCTCTGACTCATGAGCTGTCTGTTCAGAGGCCTGTTCAGTTTAGAGACGCTGTTTCTTTCCCTCTCATTTACTTGCAAGAATCTTCTACTCGTTAAAGTTCACAGTGTGGATTTTCTTGTGCTTCTTGCATAAAAACGTGTATTTATTGGAGATAAGTTTACACTGTTTTACTTGCAAGAATCTTCTCTTTAAATACACAACTACATTATTAAAATTTGCTTGTCTGAACAGCTAATTGACTAGTTGGTCTTAAATGGATAGTTCATCCAAAAATGAAATTTCTGTCATTTACTTACCCTTATGACGGTCCAAACCAGTATGGATTTCTCTTTTCTGTGCAGCACAAAAAAACCCGTATATTTGTGTGTGTGTGTG